TCAAAAATTCACATTTTGGCAATAAGATTTTGTGATTTTTTAAATTGAAGTTTATATATGAAATAATTGTATTCCTTGCATGAATACGAATCGATTGGTATATATAAAGTATAGATTTGGGGTAAATTTAACAAATTAATGAAAGTTAAAAAAAAAATCCCATTTTAGCTGAAAAATTTTGTATTTATTTAAATTCAAGTTTAAATATAAAATAATTGTGTTCTTTGCATTGAAAAAACAAAACATATCGATAAATTGTCAAATTTATGTAGAAACTTTACTAATTGTAATCATAATCGTAAAGCGTTACTTTCAAGTTAGTCCTAATCTAAACTCTAAAACTGTAAGAACTAGAATAAAGAATTATTCTAAATTAATATTCTATATTTCTTGCTAGTCCCTTAAGGCCCAGTGTTTCCCCAATAAAATAAATGAATTAATATAAAGTGCAAAACGACACGACAGTTGAAAAAATGAAAAATTGTTAGACACTGTGGAAGTTGCAATTAAATCCCTTGAAGATTTCGATGAAAATAAAGTTCCACAGAATTATTTAGGTTTGATGAATGTATAATGTAAGTTTAGTAGTGCGTTACATTATTTGTGTAAAAGTCGGTTAGATATATTATTTAATAGTTGCTGTCACAAAAGAAAAGTAAAGTTAAAAGTTTTAAAATTTTTTATCCGTTTTATTTCAAAAATTTGTTATTTCACTTAAGCTTTGATTCATTAGTCTTTTCCAGCATAGGAGCAAAATCAAACATTCCTAAAGAATATGGTTCTTATGTTTTTCATGTACATGGACAAGTGTATCATAATAATACATTGTAAAGCGATTTCAAGTTCATGGGCCATGCTGTAAACAAAATAGGAATTCACCCTGCATGAATCCTGAGATGGGTCAATTAAATGTTTTGCTAACAATTTGATGATCGTAGCATATAATCTTTATTTAAGTACAAAATTTGAAAGTCATATTGACTGTGCAATAATAGGTTATAAAGATGATAATCAGGAAATGCAATATGATGAAATTAAAGATTATTTAAACACACGTTAGGTATGTCCAGCAGAAGCTATGCACAGATTACATTTACAAATTAATTAAACAATTGTATTAACCTACAACACCATAATGCTGAAATAGTAAAACAATAACGATTTTAAAAGAACATTATTAATTTTGTGAGATCGAAATTCCAATAACTTTTTGTCAAATAAAAATAAATTTTTAATTTTGCTAAAAAAAATTATAGATATCACGCGCGTTTCTTTTAGCTAGTTCAATAATAATTGATTTTTAGACTTTGACCAACAATGACAACATTTTAGAAAAGTACGGATTAAATTAGATAACTTATAATTTTTTTTCGGACATTTCAGAAATTTTGCCTCATATGTGAAGCGCTCTGAAGAAAGGAACCTTAGAAGCAAAACATTATAGGTTACATTTTAAAACTTCGAAGTGAAAATACACGCAGAGGATAAATTTTCAATAAAAATTATTGATATTCAAGTTTATATCACATCCAAATTATTCAATAAAAACTGATTTTTCTTTTAATATAAATAAAAATAAACTTTTAATCAAGGTAAAATTATCGTAAACATAACCTACAATTCGTTTGCTTCTAAGGTCCCTTTCTTCAGAACGCGTCATATATTTAACACATTATAGTTATATATCGGTTTATATTCAATTCACTTTTTTATTCAAACCATTCGGTTCAGTACATTATATTTACAATAGTCATAATTATTTTCTCATTCACATATTTTTTATTAATGGATAGACCTCTACATCCCTTCGCGATCAAAACTTACTCTTAGTCACTAATAAAGAGTGAAAAGAGTTGTGGACTTAGCACTTCTCCATGCAACAGCCCCCTTGTGACCTTGACAAAGTCCGAAAGACCGTGGCCTGTTTTAATTGCAGCTGAGGCGTTCTCGTAAAAACTCTTTAAAACATTTATAAATTTCGTACTCAATCCTTTTGAATGCAACTTCAGCCACAACAAATTATGACAAACTGAGGGAAAGGCGCCTTTAAAATCCACAAACGCAGCATACACCACATATTTCTCTGATGACGTAAATGAATTTGAATTAATGCTTGCAGTGTAAATATGTTATCTACGCACCCTCTCCTCTGCCTCTCCGAAAACCTGATTGAAATTCCGGAATTGCCTCTGTCTCATTCATCCATGCTATCAACCTATCCGCTAAAACTTGAGTAAAAAATTTCGCCATGCAGCTTACTAAATAAACTGTTCTAAAATTTTCCGGTTCATTCACACTTACCTTTTTTGCAGCATGGAGATTACCAAGGAACCCCATGCTTTTGGAACCTTTTCAGATTCTAATATTTCATGTAAAAAATTATCTTGATAAAAAATCCAATTTTCTAGCAGTCTCTTATAAAAGCTAAAATTTAACGAGTCAAAACCAGCAACTTTATTATCCTTAATTTTTTTAGGCTTTTTAAAATTTCACTTGTTTCGATATATGCATCTAATATCAGACATGAGACCTGAGCCAACGAAGGGCAACTTATGCAAATAGTAGGGAACATTGAGTTTAAATATTCTTGCCATTGTTTTTTACTTATGCAGTTTTTTTATGCTGTGTAACGTTTATCATTAACAATTGACCAAAAAATTTTAGAGCATTTAGCTGTAGCCAATCGCGCCACTAAATCTTTTTCATAGTCGACCTTCGCTTGCTTTATCGTTTTTTATAATATTTTTTAGCTTGCATATAATCGAATTTCAAAGAATCTAAATTATTATCTAGAGAGTCTTTATGGGCCATCACCATGCTGCATTTTGCTTCTCTACAATTCTTGTCAAACCATGGTTTATTTTTTGAAATAATTTCCGTGTTATTTTTGTTCTTAGATTTCATTCCCAGGTTTTGCGCCACCGTGACAATAGCATCAACCAAGTTACTGTTTAACATATCTATATTCCCTTCTACTTTCGCAACTTCATCCCTCAATCGCATGCCGTTCGTAAATTCAGATGATTTTAAAATATCAAATTTTAATTTATAGGCGTCTTGACTGTTCACAGAGTTATCCATAATTTTTTTATCAAAAACTTTCAAAGACAAAACAGCAAGCAAATGGTCGGATTAGGTCGCTAAAGGTAACACTTTCAAATTTTCAACCAACTCTACGCTATTTAAAGGAGTCCAAACTAAATCGGTAACACTTCTACCCTGGTGCCCCACAAATGTCCAATTGACAGGAGAATCTGCCGCAGTTCTTCCGTTCAATAACATCAATTCATTATACTTCATAAAATTTACTAACTTACTACCCCTCTTTGTTAAAACCTTATCTAATGAAAATCTTTTATATGATATATTATTTACATTACAAAAGGTATATTTGTCTAATTGATTTGATTCAGCAACTCTACTACTAAAATCTCCCACAACAAAAACTGGCAAATGCTCATAATTTGCCTTAATAAGCAACCAGGATTTGTCAAAGTGCTCCAAAAACTAACTGAGACTTGCTACAGGCGACGTATATACACATAGTAAAAACTCGAACTTAAATGTTTTAACTTTAATAATTAAAAATTCTTCTTTCGATGCTAATAATTATGAACAAAAAATTTTTTTGCTTAGAGCAATCAAAATACCTCCCTTAAATCTTCCTTTTTCTGCTTCTCTCCACGCCAAAGAATAGTAAATCTGCATATCCCCTGAAAGGCAATTGTTAAACTGGTCCACTGAGTTGCTCCATGTTTCATAAATGCAAATGATATCCGCCTTAGAGACCACCGACTTCAAATCCCTGATATTGAAGAATCCATGCACATTCCAGAATATGACCTTATGAGAACCTTCTTCCTTGAGGCGAATTTCAATAATTTAATTTCCGTAAAATTCTTCTATTTTTGTCTCTCTCTCTGACCGAATGGCTGATTACTAATAATTTGTAGTTTGCTGCTTGAGAGGCGTATCCTCTCCTGTTGCCGCGATGGAAGTGGTAAGCGAGGGTTTGGGGGAATTCGTTAAATATGAGTCCAAAGTTTTACTTCCATAGGCCTTTTTCGCCTGCTTGGCTCGACGACAATACATGTGGAATTAATAAATATTAAATAATAATAAAATATAAAGTTCCCACACTTTCTTAAATCTTGCACCATCTACAGGGCTAAATAGTAAAATAATAAGTTAATAATATTTTATAGCATCTAGTTTGTATTTTTACTACACGAAAAAAAGTGGAGAATAGACCCAACTCTTGATAAAATGGTGATTACAACAACAGTATAGTCGTTATTAAACATACTTGAAAGTCAAATTAACACAATGTTGGCTAATGAACTGACAGATGTCACTACTGAGTGGGAAAAAATTAGATTATCATTATATAATTAATATTAAAAATAATAGCAATATAATAATTGATTATTATATAATTAGCAACCTCAAAAACCCCCGAGTAACGCGTTTCAAGCGAATCCAACAAATTTTTTGAAAAGTGTCCGCCATAACCCAGCTAAAAATTCCTATACAGGATCTTTAAAGGATCCCTATAGGTTCCTACATAGGATCCTAAAGGGAGCGTTGACGCAAGTCGAGCTGAACTGTGATTAGTAGAGGGTAACTGGAATCGGAAGTTAATCCAAAATTTATTTGATTGATTCGAAATGAGCACGGTTGTTTGAAATGGTTTTTATTAAAGGCATTTTGAAAAATATTTTTTGAGGTTATGGTAGTTTTTTGAGGTATCTCCTCAGATGGAGATACCTTTATTTTATGTGTGGTTGTGTAATTCTAGTTATTACGAAATTCACTCTACTAGTTTTTATCGTCATTTTAGACGATGATTCCTCATCACCGTGTTAGGCTTTGAGATATTTTTCATACATAAAAATGTGATAATTATTATAATTAAGATATAGATTACAAAGATAAGATATAGCATTACAAATGTAAATGTCTAGATTTATAAATTAAAATAATGTAATAAAAATGTTTACCGTTTTATAAAGTTGCTTGACTTCATGTTCTATTTGTGCTGAACTTAAAAGGAGTCGCAAACCATTATTGATGGTGTAGTTGCTTTCTTGAATTACCATTTGACGAAGACTTCGAGACTTCTTTAAGTCACCCAGAAGATATGTGGGTAGCGCTGTATGCAATAAAATCCAATGCAAAGTTACATTACAATCTCGAATTAATTTTATTACTGATCCTAATGTACTTTCATCTAAAGTAACTTTCGTTTTCACTTCTTCAGTTTTTAAAATTTGTTTCTATAAATAACAAGAAACAGAATTAATTGACTACCAATTACAGCCTACTTTATGATTAAAATTCAAAAACCTCATATTACCTCCATGGCTTGGCCATGCTTCTGAGAGATAATCTTAACGTTATTGATCTCTAGCGTGTTATTTAAAGCAGAACGAGCAGCTTTGTAAGGAGCCCACCAGTCCCAAAGATCTATTACGATTCCCATATAAACACTGATAGCCCACGTATCTGGAAAAAATCTGTCTACGATTTCTCTCATAATTGCAGGCTGATTGTGTAATATTGATGGTTTAAATGCTAATATCACGACCAACATTGATGCCTGATTAGCTAATGCCACACTTCGGTGTTCCGGATGGGGAAATGCAACACTTTGACTGTAAAGTTCATCGGACCTCAAACGCGCAATAACAAGATCAATGAAGGAAGAATTTATCGACACTCTCCTGAAATCAAAAGAGTTTAATTCCATCAGATTTTTTTTAAGTCGTAGAATCAAAGATCATCAAGGATTGAAAAAAATTTTAACGCTACTCCAGACTTTTTAAAATTACATTTTTGCCTAAATAACAGTTTATGGATGTAGAAATAAGTTACAATTGATATTATACCTGTAATTTGCTTAAAAATAAATACCATTGTAATCAATGTAAAGTAAGGTTGCCACTTCTCATTGTGGCTAAAATCTTAAAATAGACTAATTATCACTATTTTTCATCTAAAATTATTGAATATCAAGCCTTAATATTGCTTTCGGGGTGAGCATTTATTGATAAGCAGACTTTTATTGATACTAAAAGAAGAAATTACACAAGGAAATAAGCATTTTTAAATCTCCGATTTCTTGGAGTTCACCGTGTCTACAGCGGGCATACTCGTATAATACATCCTTTTTTATCCTTCAGAACCTGTAAAAGAACGTCAAAAAACCCCAAGCATAAAAAAGAATGCTCAAAAAGTTATTGCACAATGAAAATTAGATTTCATGCGAGTTGAACCAGGAATTTAAAGATTTTCTTCAATGTCACCAGTGAACCATCTTCACATTAATTTAAAACCTTGAAAACCCATGTCAATATAGCCTAAAAATACAAAAAATTTTCATCCGCTTTATCTTCGAAAATAGCTTCGGGACCAACGCGAAATTTTCAGTGAATGTAGGTATATTTAGTGTGTATTTAAATAATTTTCGAAACCCCATATTTTTTCTTTTTTCTGCAAGAAAGTTATTGACTTTCAAAAATATTGAAAATGAACAAAGTGGCTATTTTATTTTTAAAATTTTTTATACTTATGAAGAAAAGAGAAGAAAAGTGCAAAGAAATTCTAAAATTTATGGCAAGAACTTTATATTTCGTAAGTTTTTATTTAATTTAATGTTTCCTATTTTTTATAATTAATGAATAAAATCGCAAAATTAGGTTATTTGACAGGTGCACTTGTATATCATATTTTATATATTATTTCACATCTTTAAATAATTATATCAATTGATAATGGTAAATTTATTCATTCTTAATAAATTCCAACAATTTTTTTTATTTTATGGTTTTTTTTACATATTTTGTAATGGCTAAAAAGTTGACAGTTTTCAGCACCTCACATACTTTAAATTCATATTTTACAATAAATAATTAAATTTTTAATAAAATTCTTTTCATTTCGTGATCTTGATAATTTCAAAATCATTCCTGCAAAGTATTATAATTTTTAAAAATTAGTCAGCAACGACTTTACTCGAAATATAATGGTTTGACTCTAAAGCTGTGTTTTTGTTAAAAAAATTTTTTCTTACTTTCCTGTACAGAATCCTGCCAGGATCTTGGGCAGGATATTGGAACTGTGATTCTATACAGGAACATTAGTTACTAAAGTTCCTCTGCATGTTCCTGTGCAGGAAAATATTTAACTTTCTTTTTATGCTAAGGAACATTTGTAGGAACCTACATGCATTAACAATAAATATAACCAAAAGTTAATCTACGTTCATTAGATTTTAACCTTTATATACATTTGTGATTAATTTTCTTTGTAGCATATTAAATACATAAAAAAATGATTAAAATTTTTGAATTTTAGGTATTTATTCCGTGTTATCCGAGTTTTCGCTTATCCGAGGCGCCTCTTCCCCACATTACCTCGGATAATCGAGACTCTACTGTACTTACATAGGAGCCAATAATATTCCCCACTTAAAGTAAGTGGGAATTATTCTTACAATAAATAATAAAGTCTCGCTACCTTGCTAACGCTTTTCTTATTTCTTTGAAATTTGAAAAAGATTCATTTATAAAATTTGATATTGTTCCATATTTAATTTCTAAATTTGTGTTTTATTGTCTAAAATGTATTATTATTTGATATTTTAATACTAAAGAAGCTGTAGGTCTTTTTTATGTCTTAAATATTATATTTTGTAAAATGTTCATCTGTCGAGAACTATTGACAAAATAAAAAAAATATTTAAAGAAAATAGAAATTATATTATTTTATTGAAATTTCAAGTAAGAGCTCCCAAAAGGGAGTTGCATTTTTTTGCTATATTTTTTTGTTCCTGATTTCTAATTAATTATAATTAAAGCAGAGATGTGTTCGAAAATCAAACAAAAAGGAAAAATCACTTATGTTCCGTGCCTGGATTGTCGTGCGGTGGGCACCATAACTCGGTCCAGAATTGATCTAGATAAAAAAAGCATTACTTTCTGCAACTCGAAATCTAGAGGAATATGTATCCGTTTTAAAAAAATGCATTTTTCGCAAAATGGCATCGATTTTAAGGAAAAAGTGCTTATTTTTGTCAAAATTTCGTTACTTAAATTTGTCTAGAAAATTTAAATATTATTATTTCAAAAAATCCGTACATATTTCTCTAGATAATTATATCACAAACAAAATAAAAAAACGAAGAGGATTGATTGAAATTTGTGGCAGCTAGAGTGCCCACTGAATTTTCAAATTTAGTGATGAGAAAAACGCAATTAAATTATTTTTAACAATTTGGTCGTGATTAACAATGATTAAATTAAAAATTACCTGTAATCAGCTTCGTCGGGTCCATATAGCATATCATTTCTATGCCTATAAAGTGTATTTTAAGCAAAAAAAAATTTTTCCTGATTTTTTAAAAATTTCAAAGTGGTGTAACTCCTTAATTAAATAATTAATTAATGTTAATAAAAAATAAAATATTTTAAAAATTAATGAAGTTATTGCAATTCTGAAGCTACCAATTGAAAGCTGACGTAATTCCTCATCCACCGAGCTGTATATGAACTATTTTGGATTAGAGGATTTTTTATAAACAATTGCAATGTTAGCAAGACGACTTGTTAATTCTACAAGAATTTTATTTAAGCCTATAAAATCATAGAAATTAATAAAAAATTTACTACTTAAAAAGCAGTTATATTAATTAAAGAAAATAATTCCTTTTACTACATTTCATTTAACTGGTGAATAGTAGTTGGATTTACTACTCTTCAAATTTTGAGTTGACTACAATTCCACTTGTTTTTACTACCGTAAGAAAGTTAATTTTACTACCGACCTGTAGTAGTACTTTAATTACATATTTACGTAAAATCAACTATTACTTATTAACTTCTTAAAAATAGTTACATTAACTACATGAACATGATTAGATTAACTAAAAAAGTAGTTATTTTAACTACTTTCTAGTCAACTACCCAATGGTAGTTGAATTTCTCGGCAACATTTTTTTCAGTGTACAGCCCGATCCGATCAACTTTTTTTTTGGAAGCTAATTTTCAAATTGGGCATAGTGCCCAATGTAAGATTCCGCCGCCCAATGTGAGGGCCCAATATTTTTGGAATTTGTACCACAAGTCTAAGCCCAGAATTTCAGAACGATTACGAAATGGAAGGAAACTAATTTTTTTACTATAGACCTCACATTGGGCTGCGGAATCTTACATTGGGCTCTGTGCCCAATTTGAAAAATAGCTTTGAATTTCTAATCCTGTGACCCCAAAAACTCCAAAAGATGCGATTTTATAAATTTATTTATTTGTCAAAAAATGTTGAGCCCAATCCCAGACATTGGGCCCAATATTTTTTGGCTTTTGTACTACAAGTTTAAACCCAGAATTTCATAACGATTCTGAAATGGATATTGAAAATTAGTGGGTTTTATTTAAACAACTAATTTTTTTTAATGTGGGCCTCACATTAGGCCGCGGAATCTTACATTGGGCTTTGTGTACAATTTGAAAATTAGCTTCGAATTTCTAATCCTGTGACCCCAAAAACTCCTAAAGAAGCGATTTTTTAAATTTATTTATTTAACGAAAAATGTGGGGCTTAATCCCAGACATTGGGCCCAATATTTTTGTCATTTTTACTACAAGTCTAAACCCAGAAATTCATGGGGATTACGAATTGGATACTGAAAATTAATGGGTTTTATTTAGGACAACTAATTTTTTTTACTGTGGGCCTCACATTGGGCGGCGGAATCTTACATTGGGCTGTATGCCCAATTTGAAAATTAGTTTCCAATTTTTAATCCTGTGATCTCAAAATCCCTCCAAGATGCGATTTTTTAAAATTTATTTATCTGTTGATAAATTTTGGACCCAACATCTTGGATTGGGCCCAATATTTTGGGCACTTATACCACATGTCTGAACGCAGAATTTCATGGGGATTACGAATTTGACACTGAAAATTAGTGGTCTCATTTAAGAAAACCACTTTTTTCATTGTAGGGCCCAACATTAGGCTCCGGGCCCAATTTTTTGGTTTCAAAAATGTACATCTTTTTGTTTAGAACAACTTTTGTCTTGAAATTTTTTTACAAAAATTCTTACTTTTCGAGATATTTGCAAGTTTCCATACTTTTGAAACACCCTGTATATTAAAGTACTTAAATAAAAACTATTGCACCAATTAAGCTAAAAATTTTATGGCTTATTCAACCCAAGCAGCACGGTACATCCCCTGAATATCCCTTGAATACCACCGTGGAATATTTCCATGATCTTCCAGGAAAATCAAAATGTCCGCCTCATGGAAATATTCCACGGTGACATTCAGGGAATATTCCAGTGACATTGAAGGTAATATTAAAGGAATATTCCAGTGATATTGAGGGAATATTCCACGGTTATATTGAATTTCTTTTTAAAGTGTTGAAATAATAGAAATGTGTTATAAATTGTTATTTGAATAAGTAAGAAGATTAAAAACACATTTAAAAAAAAAATTCAATATAACCGTGCAATATTCTCTCAATATCACTGGAATATTCCCTCAATATCACCTGAATATCCCCTTAATGTCACTGGAATATTCCATGAATGTCACCGAGGAATATTCCCTCAATCTCACTGGAATATACTCTGAATGTCACTGTGGAACATTCCCATGATGCGGACATTTTGATTTTCCTAGAAAATCATGAGTTTATTCCACTGTGGTACTCAAG